ACATTGAAATGAATTACTGATTTGTTCCTTTCACACATTCTTTTGACCTGAACCCTCTCATACATCTTTATCAAGTCGGTAAACATATTGACGATGCAGCTAAGATTTACAAATTCCAAAGTGTTATGTGAACTAATTAGTTTCTAAATGCCTTTGAATTAATCTTATCTTCTCTCCAGAAGTGATTGGAGCAATAAGGAACAATAACAACAAAAAAATCAATAAACCCACATTGTTTGCTCTTCACTGGGGAGTCATGACTTAATAAAAGTGGAGCTCTCCATGGCTGCAGGGAAGCACATCAGTTCTCAAGGTGATAGAATTTGACTTCAAGGCTGATATCGGGCAGGAAAGAGTTGTTTATGTCAAGCCATTCACTGAGAAAGAACAGTTGTATAAAGATCACTGATATTATTGTTAATATAAGAGATGTAGATCTTTATCAGCTTGTTTTTTTTTTTTTTATCTAAGTTCTAAAAGGCTTTTGGATGAACTGGAAAGATAAAGTATTATTTATGAAAGCTAGGTCAACTGTTTTATGGACACAAAGAACTTAGCGAGAAGTGCATGTTTTTGGTTGAGGGAAATGAAATGTCCAGATTTTCAGTGACTTTTTGAGGTCCACATGGCCACTAGTGATAGACCCAGAGTGAGCTCTCTCCTGCTCTGACCCTGTGGACTGTCACCCTCAACTGTGTTCCCATTCAGGAGGGGTCAGTACTCACTACGTATGGGGTCCCACTTACAGTTCGGTCTGTGCTGAGAGGTAGGCCTCTGCATGACTTTTCTCTGATATTTTAGGAGACCTCCCTTTGATTCCTTTGAGAGAAACATTACTTGCAATATTTGGGCATTTTTTCCACATGGAAACTAAGTTGTTTTCAGAAGCAAATCCCTTTTGGTCATGTAGATATACTCTAAGGAAGCTGGCAAAAATCAGCTCGCATTTTTAATATAACATTTTGCTGATTTTATCTCAGAGAATCTGGAAAATTTCTTTGACTCTCTAATGCATAGTTTGATGACGAGTGCCCAAGAATAGATGTATTTACAGAAGAGCACAAGTGATACTGTCATATGGCCTTAAAGGTGACCTTTAAAACAGAGTATGGGGAGGACAGCTGGTCTTCTTATTAAGTTGGAGATTTTTCTTTTAGACCTTCTGAGGAACAGAGGTAGGGAATATATGAATACACATATGCACACGCCCACGTGTGAGTATATACAAACACATGCATGTGTTGTTTACTTTCTGTGTTTTTCCTCCCCATTCTTGCTGATTTAATTATAATTTTGAGCAGGTAGGGGACTGGGAGAGTCATTCTCTCATCCTTTCTGCTTGAATATTTCCCACACTTCTAGGTAACCAGCTTTGTTATTTTCAGGGTTATCTTGATTATGTATGTGTCTTTTTATAATGATAAAGATATTTGCATATTGGAAAAAATTTCCATCTTTTACTTACATAAACTGTGTATGTACTTATTTATACATTGCCTTTTTCATTTATTGTTAGAGTCTGGAAATTATTCCAGAGCAGTTCATGAGATCTTCCATATTATCTTTCATAGTTACATATGAGTTTATCCAGCCAACTACAATTAGCCTTATTTCTACCCTAAAGAGAAGACAAAACCAATCAAACACATCATCATAGGAGCCTCAGAAACTTTATGCTGAGTGACAGGAGTCAGACACAAAAGGCCATCTTTTGTGTGGTTTTAAATTATGTGAAATATCCAGAAGAGGCTCACCTCTAGAGACAGAGTGTGACTTAGTGATTTCTAGAACTATAGGTAAAAGTGGGGGGTGACTGCTTTTGGGTATGAGGTTTCTTAATTATAAACTAAGTTCATCACAGAACTCTTAAGTTTATGAAGGACATCGAAGCCTACATTTAATACATTTAAAACATGTGGATTTTAATGTATGAGCTGTTAAAATTACCTCCATCATGTGGTATGTATGACAGTCCCACAGAGTGTATTAAAGGACCAAATCCTCTTAGATATCACATAGTGGAAATGTTAGGAATCTGCTCCCACATGCTATATATTTTCTATTGTGTTACTTCAAATCAGAATTGTATTTCTTTATAGCATTTTCTGCCTGAAGGATTTAGTGAACTAATAACCCCAATGGAAATTTATTTTCAATGGACTGTGACAGAAGCAATAGATTTGATCCTTTGAAAGAGTTGAATTCTAAAGGACCTTGTAGACCACTTTGTTATGCCTTTCATTTTACAGTTGAGACTCTGTTAAGAGTTTAAAACTCTGTGTAATAAAGTGAGAAATATAATCCTCCACTCATCTGTTCTGCTCTTTAAATATTTATGCTATTCTGTTAAGCAGCCATTAAAATAATTAGTAAGATTGTGTAGAAGCATAGAGAGCTGTTTATAATACAAATCAACAGCAGCTGAGTGCCAAATGGCTTAAATATGATTCCAACCAATATGTCAAATTTGTGTAGATAGTGAGGTCTGGATCATTAACAGACAAAACTTGTGTGTGTGTGTGCTAGATGATGAGCTGGTGGGCATTTCTCCCTTAATATTCTTGAAGGTCACTGCCTTTTGTCCTAAAAAACACTCAGGCTAGCATGGACAATGTGGGCCTCATGCTCGTAGCTCCCTCAACTTGTCACCTGGGTTGCAGATCCCCTGAGATGCTGGCGTTGCTGTAAATGTGTGTGCAGGGGTGTTATCAGCCTACCCTACTGGGTGCCTCTTGGCACCTCTGTTTCTTGTCCTCACTTATGGAATCTGCTCTTCAAGTCAAAGACAGTGTTTCTGTGTCGTCGGCCTTCCTTCATTATACAGTCCTGCCCCTGGAGAAAGGAGTACCTCCATGGACTTGTTTCTTAATGTGACCTATTGTCCCTGGCCGATGAAGTCCTCAGAGAATTTTTGGGAATTGGCATATTTTTAAATTAAGTTGACATTTTAAATGAAATCATTTGTCGTTTTTACTTGCTGTTCATTTTTGGACAATATTTAATTTCTCCCTCTGATGTACCCCTGTCGCTCTCCCCCATCACCATAATCACCTGTGACCCATAGCCATTGGACTCGATGACTGTATCTTGATGTACTGACACTCTCTTCTGTTTTCTAATTACTGGTGTGGGATGGACAGTGTGACTGTTAAGAAATCACATCTCTGACTTGCATGCTCCCAATGAGAGTTGTGCAGTGAAGAGTCCCTTTCCTCACATGGATGAAACCAAATCTCATGTTGTGTTCTCTGGTTCAAAAGAAACATTTCTTTATTACATATTTGATATGTCAGGTAAAATAATTAAGAACATCTTATATTTCATTTTCCTTCCACTGTCATACCCTAAACCATGCTGTAATTGGTGCAGTTTTCCCTTGATTTTCTTTGAAGAAAGAGTTCTTAGAGGAAATAGTGAAAACTGGTTCTGTTTGCTTTATCTTTAATGAGTGCCTTCAACATGCAATATTAAACTTTGGGGGTCAGTTTACCTTTCCTGGTGAAGACCAATATACTTAGCCAAAAAAGCCAGACTGTGATGTTGTTGATGTTTCCTTACTGTATTCTCTTATCTATTTCTAACGCAAACTGCTTGATAAAGGTAGGTGCCCAGAGTCAGCTGTGCTGTACTGGTTATTTATGTGCTTAAGTTTCAATTGGTGAAATTAAGGCTGTTTCTAGCTGATATAATAAATGTATATTGGGAAGGCTGGTGCATAAATCACAAAATCAGAGGAAAATGGAAAATTCGTTGTCCTCAGGAAGAGTAAGTGTGACAACTATGGCATCTTGAGGTGGCCACCAACTGCGTTTAAGTCTTGGGCATTGAAGTGACTCAGTCCATTGTCATCAGAGCTGGATTCAGGATTGGGAGGGAGTCAGGTTTGTTCAGATTGCAGCCAGGTGCCCATTTCTTAGTGCGGGTGATATGCAGATCATCAATTGCACTTGAAATGGGAGTGAAGTATTTCTAATTACCAATAAAGGGGAGGCATGCAATGCCAGTAGATGACATGTCCAACAAGATTCATCTAAAGGCAGAGAAAATTTAAATAAATAGGATAATAAATGATTTGGGTGTTGCCTGTGTGTAATCATCAAGTTATATTCCTAGGTGGAAAATACCAGCCGTTTTAATCCATCACCAAATGTTTTATGTTCAATTGTGAAGATTTGTTTTCTTCTAATTACGTATGAAAGACATTCAGCTTTTCTTAAACATACACAAATACAACATAAAGTCATAGTCAGCCGCCAGCTAACTTCTGCAGTTTTTGAAGCATTTTGCCATTCGAGTTTCTGTGGATTGCATTTTTTTTTTAAAGATTTATTTATTTATTCATACAGAACTGGGGTACAGGCCAGAGGCTCAGGGGCGGTGAGAGGCTTCACCAGAGACAGAGTGGGGAGCAGAACAGGCAGATCGACGAAGTACACTGCTGAGGGGAGCAGCGGGCGGGTCAGGAGAGGTCTGCCACGCCATGTGGTCACCTCCGGGGCAGGCGGCAGGCGGGAATCGAACTCATGCGGAAGTGGCTTCAGATTCTCAGTGCTGTGCTTCAACCCGCTGCGCCACCAGGGAGGGCCTCTGTGGATTGCATTTTAAAACATTATCTTAACATGTTTTTACAACTGACTGTATAAAAATTTCCAAGATTTAACAGAAGTCTCAGTCCTTGATTTATGACTATCAACCTAAAGATTAAATGATCATTGATTTTGTTCCAAAAATATGTTGCCGTTAGAACAAAAGATGACTTGGTGCTGTAGTAATGCTTTGTTTACCTGAAGTAGGATTTTATTTCAGTCAGTGGTCAATAAGGTGTTTCATTCTAATGATTCAGTTCCTAAACAACTCTTTCTAGAGTTCTACCAAATTGATTTCTAACTCTTACAGTCTTTAGGGGGCGATTTGGAGTTTTTATTTGATGGCAAGTTTTGTGAGCACCGATGGATATGTGCATTTTGTGAGAGCTGAATGTACTCTACTCTCTCTTGCAGTTGAAAGATGCATGAGTGTGATGCAGTCGGGGACACAGATGATCAAGCTGAAGCGTGGGACCAAAGGACTCATCCGGCTGTTTTACCTAGACGAGCACCGGACCCGCCTCAGATGGAGACCCTCCAGGAAAAGCGAGAAGGCAAAAAGTAAGACCAACCTTTGACTTATTTGGTTGGTTTGAGGCAGTAACTGGTGAAAACTTCAGATATGTGGAGCTTACATATTTTTTTGTAGGTTTTGGGGTCAGTTGTTAAGTGATGTGGGGAGACAAGAGTGAGTGTTGACTATTTTTGCTTTTGCTTTTACAATTTTTTTGAGAATTTAAATCCAATAAAATATTTCTTGCTCTATATGAGGAACTTGATATATGTAAAATTCAGCTGAAGTCTGAGATTTTTATAGCCTGACACATTTTATTTTCTGATAAAATATGGAGGACTTCATAAATCCAGTGGACTTTGAAGTGTACTGATGAAGTTGTTTTAATGATTTCAAGTAGAATACCTTCTACTCCTGGAGAAAAATCCCATGTCTTTGACACTCAGCACCAAATCCTTATTGAGTCCCCTATAATGTCCTTCTCATTTGCTCCCCCTTCCTGTTTGTACAAGAAGCTGTTTTGTGGCCTGTTGTGATGTCTCCTGACTAGTCCATTCTTCTTTTTTTCAGTTCAGATACTTTCCTCTTCCTGTAAGCATAGAAGACCTTAGACTTACATGCTAATAAGCAAATTCATTATCTCACACAAGAAACTCAGAGATGGACAAACCAAGACATGGGCTTGGAGTTCTAGCTCTCTGCCCTCAATGTTCTTGGCTTTGTCTTTTGTGTGTTCATGTTGTAACTATGCAAAAGAAACATGGTTCTCCATCCTGGGACTCTTAACTGATATGCTCTTAACTGATATGACAGTGAAGATACAGAGAAGGCTTTCTCTGCTGGTGCTTCCTTTTTAGGAGTGAAGATTTCCTTTCCAGACCTTTTTCTAACAGCAGGACTTTTAGGACTGCCCTGTGACTTGTTGGTTAGAACTGAATTGCATCCCCACACCTTTTTGATCAAGGAACTAGGAATGGGGCCAGGGCAGTCACCCCTGGGGCTGACTTGGGTTCCACTCCCCATGAGCCATGTGAGACTAACTGAATACCAGAAGAAACTGGTTCTCTGCTATGAGGTAGAGGGGAGGAGTTTATGTTTTTTTTTTTTTTTTAAGATTTTTACTTTTTTATGCATACAGAACTTGGGTACGAGTCAGAGGTGCAGGGGTGGTGAGAGGTTTCACCAGAGACCGAGTTGGGGACAGACCAGGCAGATTGAGGAGGGGAGCAGCGAGTGAGTTAGGAGAGGTCTGCTGCGCCATGTAGATCACCTCTGGGGCTGGGATCGAACTCACACTGAAGAGACTGCAGCTAGCTTGCGGTGCTGCGTCCTTACCTGTTGTATCACCAGGGAGGGCCCAAGTTTATGTATTTATGGGCGGCCTGTAAAATGTGTAGCATGTATGATTTGTTGCTGCAAACAAGCAAGCAAACAAAAAAACAATGTTTAAAGTGTTCTTCCCTGTCAATGCCCTCCTCAGTGCTGTTTCACTACCAAATTATGCTAATCTCTGGCCTATTCTTTCAAGGTCCATAAGCTAGGCTCTACCTACATTTCCAACTGTGTCTCCCATGAATCACCCTATTGAGCAATCCAGCCTAGCATACATGGCTCATTCAGTTTCCCAAGTGGACTGGGTGTTTGTTTCTGCCTCTTCCCCAGGCAGGTGCCTCCCCTCACACCCATGCTACTTTCCCCTATCTCCTAAGTGCAGCTCCCCCATCACCATCTCTCTGTAAATGCCAGTCACAGCTAGCTACACTATGTGGTCACCATTAATTTTTTTCCCTTTCAACTTGTTTGCACACATATTGGCTCTAGGTCTTTTATATTTTCCTGCATAAATATATAAACTATAAATTTGACCTATTAATCAGACCCTTTACTGCCTGTCTCGTTGTGCTGAAGGACGTATCTATCCTTCATTAATAGATTTTAACCTGCTAGGTCAATGTCTAGGCCGCCTGAGGTCATGAGTGGCAATACATGAAGAAGGCTCTTAGCTGGAAGTTATGGAGTTTGTACTTCACACATGGACTTAATACCACTACTCACAGACAGTGAATTTGCTCATACTTTTTTTTTTCTTCAGATTTTAAGCAATTTTGCTTTCTTTTTCTTACTCTTCACCTGCCATGTCTGTCTCTCTCCATCCCACAGTACTCATTGACTCCATTTACAAAGTCACAGAGGGTCGGCAGTCTGAAATATTCCACAGACAAGCTGAGGGGAACTTTGACCCCAGCTGTTGCTTCACCATCTACCATGGAAACCACATGGAGTCCCTGGACCTCATCACCTCCAACCCCGAGGAGGCCCGCACCTGGATCACAGGCCTCAAGTACCTTATGGCTGGCATCAGTGACGAAGACTCCCTTGCCAAACGGCAGAGGACCCATGACCAATATCCTCTCTAAACATTTATTTTTGAGCTTTGTGTATGTTGGGACTGTGTGAGGTGCACGGGTGTTTGTGTGTATGTGATACTTGTGAGTGTGACATGAGGATGAAATTGAAATTTGTTTTCCCACATTTGAGGCATTAAACCACTCTCCTTCCTGTCTCTTTCCCCTGGCCCCCTCTGCCCTCTCCTCTCTCTTACCTCAGGTAAATGAATGCCTACAACATAGAGAAATTTCATCTTGTGTGAACTTGGGGACAGATTTCTGAGATTGAATTTAGCTATACAATTTAAGAGGTCTCCAAATATATCCTAGAATTTCTTAAGAGAGATGAGTTAACTGGAAAAGTGTTTATTTGGATTAGAGATAATCAGACTTTGTTACAAAGTCAGTGTAATTTAACAAATACTTTAAAAATTTCAGTCAGATACCAGGCACTAAACTCTTCCTTCTTTCTTTCTCTCTGCTTTTGTTTTTTTTAATAATAGTTTTTTAAATATCATTTTGTGCATTTTTTCATCTCAGTTGTAATCCCTGTGGGTTTCCCATCGCCAGATCACCCGTGTGCCATCACCATCTTTCTCTCTACTTTTAACTTCCAGTTTGGAAACTGACCTAATCATACTCAAGGGAAATTTTTCTTTTCTTTTTTAAATAACATGCCCTAAATTGCTCAGAAAACTGAGTGTGGATCTCATTCTTGACTAAGGCAATTCTTGTGGTCCCGCTGTGCCTACGTGACAGGTAATGAATGCATTTGGTCCGATGGCTCATGTGGGTGGGGTGGAGCAAGCAGATGAGCAGGTGTGGCCTCAGTTTCCTTTTAGATAAAGTGAGGGGATTAGACCTTGACTTCTTTGTTCCCTCCACACTCTGATTGGCCTAAAGTACTTGGCCCCGAGTCTAGGGCAGGAGCAGGCAACACCCCTTACTGTCACTGGAGTGTGCGACCTGTTTTTTTCCCCTGGACTGGTGATTAACTTGTGCTGCACCAGCTGCAATCGCTCACCCCAGGTATTGTTGGAGTAGAAGAAATGTTCAGCCAGTGAAAAGGATTCTGACCGTGTGAAGGTCTGAGCTAATGAGCCATGATTTTTCATCAATATTCGCAGCATGCAGATAAATGCGAGCAGGAGTCATAAATGAACAAAACACAGACAACAACTTTCTGTGACTTATTCTGTTAGTTTGCTTTTTTTTTT